AACACAGCTGGCAGGAGCCACAATGGGGTTAGCAGATAGGGACTGGGGGCCAGAGGTCGCCCTCTCCGTGCTGGCCATGGGGCCGGGGGCTGGGCCCGGGGCTGGCAGGGACCCGCGCGGTGCTCACGGCGCCAGGCCCGACCGAGGGACCGTCTGGGCGTCACTCTGGCCGCTGTCCTTTTGAACAAGGAGACTTTAATGGACAGAATCAAGAAGCAGTTACGCGAGTGGGACGAGAACCTCAAGGACGATTCGCTTCCCGCCAACCCAGTCGGTACGAGCGGGCAGGTCCCCCTGTGGCCGGCGCCGGGGTCTCCCCGCTGGCAGCTCTGCGGGTTCCCCAGAACGGCGAGCGGGGCTGTGGGTGCTCCAGCGGCACGCGCCTCCCGCGGGCGGCCCCGAGCGCCGCGGCCCCTCCCGGGGTCCCCTCGCGTGGCACGGGGCCGCCTCAGGTGCGTCACCCGGCTCCTGAGGGGAAACCCACCGCGTCTTCAGACTTCTCTTACAGAGTAGCTGCTTTTCTGCCCATTGACGACGCGCTGAGGATCCAGCTGCTGAAAATCGGGAGCGCCATCCAGCGGCTGCGCTGCGAGCTGGGCATCATGAACAGGGTGAGGGGCGGCCGCGGGGACCCTCGGGGGCCCGCCCTGGCCGCGCCGCGGCCCTACCCAGCCGGTCACGGGAGGGGCCGGCCCCGCTGTCCTGCGAAGGGCGCGCGGGGCGGCTGGGAGGGGCCGTGCCGCTCGGGCGCGTGTGAACGTCCCCGCCGGCCTCTCCCAATGCCAGTGCACGTCCCTTTGCTGCAAGCGATGTCAAGAAACGGAAATAACCACCAAAAACGAGATCTTCAGGTGAGCCCCGCCGAGGCCGCGCTGCGCGGCCGCCGGGCAGCCACTGAGCTGCAGGCGGGGGGCGGGGCGGGGCCCCTGGGCACGAGCTGGGAAGCGGGTCTGGGCCACGTGTGCCCGGGCTGCTGGGTGTCCCCCGCTCTGGCAGGGAGGAGGAAGGGCTGGGCGCTGCCGCGGGGGGCCTGCTGGTCCCCGAGTGCGTAGGGCACCGCGCCCACCGAGGGGGGGGGGCGGCTCCCGGCAGCGAGAATGGGGAGGTTGCCAGCCCCCCGCCCCCTCCACCCCCCGTTTCAGCTTGTCCCTGTGCGGGCCGATGGCGGCGTACGTGAACCCGCACGGCTACGTGCACGAGGCGCTGACCGTGTACAAGGCCTGCAACCTGACCCTGGCCGGCCGGCCCTCCACGCAGCACAGCTGGTTCCCCGGGTAAGGGGCGCGTCCCGCTCGGGACCGGCGGCCTTCTGGGGGTGCGGGGCTCAGCGCCAGAGTCCTGCTGGCTCCTGCCCCAACCGCACTGACAGCGGCAGGCGGGCGCCCCCTGGCCCACACCTCGGGCTCCCGGCTGTCGTCCTGACGCCCTTTGCCAGAGGGTCGAGGTGGGAACGGAAGCTCAGACCCGGACCCTTCGGCGCCGTCCTCGGGACGGGCCTCGGCGCCCCGGGCGCAGGCACGAGCCCGCTGAGCTGGGCGCTGCCTTGCAGGTACGCGTGGACCGTGGCCCAGTGCAGGATCTGCGCAAACCACATTGGGTGGAAGTTCACAGCCACCAAGAAGGACATGTCGCCTCAGAAATTTTGGGGTTTGACGCGATCCGCCCTGCTGCCCACCATCCCAGGCACTGAAGACGAACAAGATGAGCCGTGCCCGGACAGGGTCGTCCTCTGCTTGTGAGCACACGGTAGGCGGCGGCTGTCCAGGGGGGCTCGAGCCGCGCCCGAGTGTCCGCTTTGCTGTAGTTAGCCAGGGCCGTGCACGGGCCCGACGTGGTCCGGCCCAACTAGCCGGAACCGGCCTCCCGCACGGACAGGAGGACGTTCCCCGCCCTGGGCACGGACAGCGGCCGCGGGCCCGAGGCCAGGCGCCACACCTGACCCTTCCGGAAGCGGTCGGGCGGCGACTTACTGGACTGTTCCTTCGTCTCTGGTCTGTAAATCTGAACCCAGCTCGAGAGCCTCGTTCCCTGCGCTCTGGCGCTCGGTGTCTGCCCCGCCACCGGGGCTCAGGGCCGGACCGGGAGGCGCCAGGCCGCGGGCACCGTGACCGTGAGCGCCACACGCTCAGCCGCTGTCAGCACCCACCGGTTGGCCACGCACCTCTGCTGCGGAGGCGCGGGGGCCTGTCCCGTCTGTCATTACATTCACCGAGCGGACGCCTCGTGTCTCATTCACCGGCCGTGCCCCTCTCGTGCGCGACCCGCCGGCGGGCCCTGGCCTTGCCCGTGAGTGCTGAGCGCAGCTCGCCCTGAGGAACCGCAGCGAGCGGCCCGGCCCGGCCCCGCCCGCAGGAACACACAGCGCACCGGGCTGTTCGCACAGGCGGATGTTTAATCGCTGACCTGGGCGGTCACGTCCCGCGCGGCCTCCAGCTGCTGCAGGCTCCCGTCCGCGTCCGGACGGCGGGTCCAGGGCCAGGTGCGGCGACTGCAGAAGGAAAGGGTCAGGGGTGGACACCGCGCCGGTGCACTGCGCGCCCACGGGCCCGGGCCCGGGCTGCGCCCCTCAGTGGGAGCGAGCAGGAGCGGGCCCAGGCGGACACGTGGCCTGCCGCAGGGAGGCGCCCCACGGGCTGGGGAAGGGCGCAGCTGCACCCCCAGGTCTGCGCGGCCTCGGCCCAAGCCCAGCTAAGCCTGGGCCGGTGTTGCTGGCGCCCTCGCCAGAGCGAGCGTCACTGGGCAGCCGGAGCAGGGCAGGGCCGCCCCGCCCCGCCCCTCACCGTCGCCCGCCGGCGGCCTCAGGGCTTCTTGACGTGGCTCAGCAGCTCGTCCTTCTCCATCCGGTAGCCGCTCTTTTTCCACCGTTCTCGCAGCTGCTGCAGCAGCACCCCGATGTCCCTTCCCGAGGAGATGCCCGCCTTCCTGATGTCGTGGCCGCTGACCGGAAACAGGGGCACGGACCAGCGCTGCATGTCGCTCAGCAGCTGGCGCTCGCCCTGGTACTTCAGCAGCTCGCACACGCGGGCGGGCGCGCCGGCCTCCCTGCACTGGGCGCGGCAGAGGCGTGAGCCGGTGCGCTCGTGGGGTCCGCGGGGCCCAGCCCCCCCCCCCCCACTTACGTCTATGACGAAGTCCTGGTAGGGCTTCAGCGGCTCGGCGCCGGCCGCTCTGACCAAGCCCCGCCTGTGCCTCACTATGAAGGCGCCGAGGCTCTTCTCCTCCCTGGAGATCTTGAGCCTCAAGTCCAGGCTGCCCACGTCGTCCTGGGCGCTCAGCAGCGAGGCCAGGAGGGTCATCGGCTTCGGCGACAGCCCTTCCGCGCTCCTGCTGACTCTGTCGAACTCTTCCAGGCCGGCCTGGGCGGGGAGGCCTGAGGGCCGAGGGCCGAGGGCTGTGGGCTGTGTCCGGCGCACCCGGGACCGGGGGCCCTGGCGGCCAGGCGGCGGCGCTGCTGTGACGCTCCGGGCCTGCTCCCCGGCACCAGCCCCGCCCCCCGCGTGGCGTCACGTGACGCGATCAGTCCACTGTCCCCAAATGGGACGGCCCCCTGAAGCCGTCTTTCAGGGGTGAGCAACACCCGCCTGCCCCGGCTCCGCGCCGCCTCGCCCCTTTCCTGACGGGGAAGCGGAGCCGGCCGCAGGCGCTCTTCCCCGACGCGCCCCTCGCGGGCACCCGCCTGCCGCCCGTGCCCAAGCCGGCTGCTGGGCGGAACCCGACAGCGGCTGCGCTCACCTACGTGAGGGGCCACGCCGAGGTCATAGATGAGGTGCACCAAGTGGTTCACGTGGTTCCCGGCGAGAATCTTCTTCAGCTCCACCCAGATGCGCTCCCCCGATATTCCAGCCAAGCCCTGCGCGTTTTCTGCTATTGCTGCCAGCGTCTCGGGGTCGTGGTCGCCAGGCCTGTCCACGATTCTCCCGTAGAACCTAGGGGAGGCCTCAGGCTCTGCGCTGCCGGCCGTGGCCTCAGCGTGACCGCTCCCCGGGCCGGAAGCCCCACGCCCGCCGGC